CCTGATTACGCTACTAATCTTTTCAATAATATGGATATTCGTAATATTAAATAATGAAACACAAAAAATCAACGTAACACAGACATACACATACAAATAGGAATCATCTTTCATAAGATAAATTTAAAAGTTTACCAGTTTATACATGAACAAGTTTTTGAATTCGTTCAAAACATGAACTATCACAAAACCATGGATAAAGAAATAATTGATTCATATCTGGTCGAGCATATGTATTCTTTTCTAATGTTTTTGTTATTATTTCTTTTATATCTTTTTTCGCATGTGCTACTGAATTTAATGCTCGAATACCTCGTAAACAAAATACAGTATCTCCAACATAAACATTCAAAAGAGTCATACCAAATGACCAAACCTAAATTAAATCTTATATTAAATAAATCAATATAAAAAGAGCAAAACGAAAATGAGAACTTGAGTTTATTCTCACAAGTTATCTTTAAACTATGAATATTTGTTTTAAGTAAAAAAGAATCAGAATAAAGAAAAAAAGAATAAATATTATCAGTGAATATATTAGATCTTTTTTTTACTATATCCTTACTGTTCAACTTGAATTTGAAAGATGAATCTTCGCAATGGTAAAATCGATGTTTTTATCTCATGATAGGAACAAAGCAAAGATTTGAAATTTTTACAAAGCTTTATCTCTTGGCAAAGTTTCGAATTCTACTTAGGATGGTCTAAAAGTTCTGACCACAGCATTTAAAGAACCTTGTTGAATAAGGTGACCTATTTAGAAGTGGAAAACCAAGTGTACCATGTTGTAAAGCTTTCTCAGGCACGTTGAACGGTATATAGCGAATCTTCTCAAATACGATTTTGTAGAGTTTTTGACGGGCTAGAATCTCATATACATAGTATCTTCGATCATCTTGTGGATGGGTATAGATGTGGGCGTGCTGTTATCTATCAATAAATTGCCTCTACTTCCTTCAAAGTCTTATGAAGACAGGGTTTGCTATATACCAATCGACGCGCCTGAAGAAGCTCTACAACCTGGTAGATTTGGTTCTTCATTTCTAAATAGGTCACCTTATCCGGCAAGGTCCTTTAAATGCCGTGGCCAGAACTTCTGGACCACCCTAAGTAATTCGAAGAAAGCATTTTTCCAAGTGTTTCTGAGGACGATCATAAGATTAAATTGACAATGCACTGTCTCGACGGATATAAGCTAAACGCTTGAACTCTTTCAAGATATTCATAACTCATTAGAACCTATAAGATATACAAAACTCTTGGCTAGAAAACAATTTATCAATGGAGAAACTTCACTCATCAGCCAATATTTACTTTTCCATTTCGCTTTGTCTAAATTTCTATTTTTTGCATTAGGTATGCCGTCCACTGAATTTATCCGCTTGTCTTCAGAAAGCGCATAGATTTGTAGAGAATTTAATTCTCTATCTTATATGGCGAAAAAATCGCTTATCTAGGTAACAAAGAAATGCATGTTTCTTAGCAAATACTGCTTCTGGTCGAGTATTGTTTGAATGTCCATGGTTTTGCATCACAAAAATCGTTTAGGAAATCTATCCTATACACTAAACGAATTTGGGAAACTGTTCTATACGAGAAAATCGTTTAAGAAATCTGTGCTATCATAAGAAACGCTTCTGAAATTTAACGTAAAACAGAAGAAATGATTTTGAATTCAGAGGTTTGGAAATTTTTATATTTTATTGATTTGATTTAATAAAATTTAATAGGATGATGATGATCGTCCATGTCGTAATGCAACACATGAACTTGTAAAAAAAGCATTAATTTTGATAGCGAGAACGAATGTTACGTGCTGATACTATAACTTATATTACAGTTATGCTTGATCCACCTGGACCACCATTTAGTAAATGTATTTTAAATAATGAAAAACAATTATCTGTATCAATATGTAAGTAAAAACGAAACAAAATCGAAAAATGAAGTTAATTTCTATTAATTATATATATATTCAATGATTTTAATAATAATATTATTTTAATAGAGCTTTCGGGCTTCAACCGGCCCATCATCAGTATTCATATTAATTCAGCATGATGTTGTATTTGTGCCTATTGAACTTCGAATTTAAATAAAATAATCACAAAAAGAAAATAATAATCATAATGAGGGTGTGGGTGGGTGTGGGGGTAGGCGTGGGTGTGAGTGTGGGTGTGAGTGTGTGAATGAACGTAATATCAGTACCCATACCCATACCCACACCCACACCCACTCCCACCCCCACCCCCACACCCCCCTCCACACCCACACCCACAAACCCACACCCCACCCCCCCCCCCCCCCACCCACACCCACCCCCCACCCACCCACACCCACACCCACACACCCACCCACACCTCGCACACTCACATCCAACCTTTTTGTATTCATTTATGTTGTCAATCAAAATCAACAAAAAATCTAAATCAAAAAAATTATCATTAACAAATCTGAAGAAAAAAAATCACATGAAAATTTTATTCAGATTGAACAAGATCAAATTTATTCGAAACAACAATTTTAAGATTTAGATGAAAATTTACAAAAATTACAATATTTTAATACATTAATCGATAATGAAATTCAGGATCAACTACAAACATTAGTTTTTTTTGACATATTGATTTACAAAACAAATATTTTCTAGTTTT